TTCAGTTTTCAACGCTAAAAGATTATTTATAGTCGAGCTGTAACTTAGATGCTGAAGTACTTGTTTGTAAGAATCACAAAAATCAATATAGTTTTCCAAGTTGATCACTTCGCCGCGCATAAAAGATACAGAACCTACTAAATAGTCTATTATAGCTGCACCAGAATCGTTCAGTCTAATGTAACTTCCGTTTATAGCTGACCGTGAAAAAATATTTTGCCTTAGCGAATCTGACTGGAATTTTTTCCAAACAAGCTCACCGGAAAGTTTAAGTTCTATATTCTTTTGCTGATTACAAATGTACAACACAATTTTTTCGCAAATGGCACAACGAACCAGATCGCTTTTGTCAAGCAATTCCAAGCAGAATTTATTTAATTCAAAAAGCACATGGTAAAGTTTTGCACTATGAAATCCTGGAATTATTTGTTTTATTTCATCAGTCTCGGTAGATGTACTTGGTTTGTTTTTCTTAGCGTTATTTTTGTCATTAATTTGAAAAAGTTTATTTTCATTCAGCAGGAAAAATATCGACAAATAAAGGTTTTGAATCATACAAAATAATTCGGCGCCACGAAGAGGTCCGAAAAAAAATTCGGTTCCAATGAGAATGTGATCTTCCAAGTTATTTTTATGAGCTGAGAGTTTGTCTGAGTTTAGTTCATGATGATATTTATAATAATTTAACAGCACATAATTAACATTGAACCTAATTATCTCACAAGTTTTTACTACGGCAGAATGTTCAAACTCAAGACCTGTTAACCACTGGTTAACATGTGTCAACAAGAAGTCTTTGAAAACGTAAAAAAGGTTCATTAGATTTTGGTGGATTTCTGTTACGTTAATTGTCAAAACGAGCTGTTTGCCATACACCAAGTCCATCATCAACACAAGCACATCCGAAACAAACTCGCTTATGTTAGCCAAAGCGACAAAGCTACTATTCTGAGAAATATCTTTTTGCTTATTATCCAAACCAATACATTTGATAATTAAGTTCGAGATCGTATCAACGAAATTGCTACAGTTATAGTATATTTCGTTCAAGAGAAGACTCTTCAAATTAAGAAATTGCAAGTCTTTTTCGTCTTCACTTTGTAAATTAAAACGCGGGATCATATTATGTACAGTTTCTATCAATAAACTAGAACTCAACCTCCATAATTCATCCGTTTGCCCAACGCAAAACACACAGGAGTAGAGTATATCCCAAAATCCAAAATACGCTGTTAGTTTTGGATACTCGTTAAAAAAAATTAAAACTGAATAAATTCTGGTATATTCGTAATGAACAAAACTCAACAAACTTTCCACATCCGAAATTGGTGTATTTGTCGGTATAATGGGTAAATACTTCAAATTCAACAAGTCTATTTCAACGATTTTGTCTTCAGATCCAAACTTTGATAAAAGTTCTTTGCAATACGAACTGATGCTGATGTCACAAGGTTGGTTTTGCGAATCGACAAATATTGATTTATACCGGGACTCGATAATGTGGCTTATGTGTTTCAACAAAAAATCCGTTTGCGAATATAAGTAGTAATAACAAGCTGCAATAGAGGCAGGACTATAAAGTAGTTGTACCGAGTCCTTATCGGAGTTCGTGCTGAAAACATCCACTAAACCCTTAAAAAATTTCCCACCATCTGTAAAATACTTGGTTATTTTATAACTTGATGTTTCCGGATTGTTAATATCGATATGTTTAGTATTGGTTCCCTGATCACCAGAGTATGGTTTGTACGACGGAAAAACGTTTTGAGTATTTTTTGCAATTACGGCATTTTCAGCAGTTTTCTTATTTTTTGTTTGCGATGTTTTTGAATTTTTCGAAACGGTATCTGAGCTTACAGAATCGCCAGCGTTTTGATGTGTTTGTATAAAAGCAAATAATGTAGAACTGTCGACGCAGTTCCATGCAACTATTGATTTCAATACTGCATTGTCACTATAGTAGTATGAAAATACCGGTTTGTCTGAAGAATTTTTAAAACCTTTAGGTAGCCAATACAAAGAATTCGACGGGAAATGCATCAGTGTGTTTCTCGCTACAGCTAATGCAAATTTGGTTAATAATGTGATTTCTCTCAATTCGTAGTATACATTATGGAACGCATGTATATCGCACACTTTACAGTTAGTTAAATTAGAGCTGTATTGTAAAGCAGTAGTTTTATCTTTTTCTGGATTAAGTAGTTGACTCACGAAGTCAGCAGATTCAAGATTAAAATACTTGCTAAGATTTTTCAAATAATGAGCATCTGTAGCCGATAAAAGAAAGCCGTATTCTTCAAATGCAAAAAGTTTGTTCTGGCTGTCTTTATTCAAACTACAGTATGATAAAAATTCGTTCATTGTTAACAAAGCAAAAGATGATTGAGCAAACAGATTGTTTAGCAAATTAGTTACTCCGCTGAAATTAATTGTGTACTTGTCCACAGTTTTAGTAGCTTTTTCAATAGTTTGCTGAAACTCGTAACAAATTGGCACTGCCTTGCCTGCGGTCTCCGATCTCATTAATTTATTGAACAACAAAAATAAATCTAAACATACCCACACAAATTTTGACAACTGACTAATAAAATGGCTTGAAATGCTGTTTCCAGATGCAGCAAAAGTTCTTCTAAAACAATTTATCGAGCTGTTTATGTAATACCGCATAATAGCCGTCAAAGTGGAAAACACACCTTCAATGTTTTCTGTTGTTATGTCATCTTCAATCATTTTACAAACAGCTACTTTGTCAGAAAAAAACGTTTCAATATAAGTACTTATCAAGATGTCTTTATTGCATATGTTTTGATAAACTAAAAATCTAATATTCAACAAAGCATAGGACAAAGACACTTTGTCAGTGATTGTGTCGACTTTCAGTTTCAGCTGATGCGAGTCGTTCGCTATTATTGATTTGATAAAAGAATTATAATTAAGCGATGTTAAAAGCGGAAAATTGATTGGAAATGCATTCTCAGCAACATCAATTGAATCGTTACTTTCATCATGTATGTCAGTGATTGCATAAGGTAAAGTGTAGTATTTTTTTTTAAGTAATGCGTAAACTTGATCTCCAACACTAATGGCAAAGCCATTTAACCAATTTATAAATGCTTCGTACGCAAAATAGATACTTTGATCTGTCTCATTTAAAATAGGATTTTGCTCAGAAACGAATTGGGGTAAACTTTGAAACAATGAGACAAATATCTCTGTTACTATTTGAGACCAGTCTGTAGTATCAAGATTAACATTTTTTTTTTTGTCTACTAAAGCCAAATCTAGCTTCGAAATAGACCAAAACACAAGCAAGCACGTGACAGCTGACCAGATAACATGGTTTACTTCGAGCAGACTTTGCGGTCTTCTACAAAGTAATTTATTATAACAGTCGTTTGCAACGCGAGTCGCGAATAAAGGCAAAATTCTGTTATACAAAAGCTGTGACGAGCCAGCTACATGATGAGTGCTAAGATAAGCTAATGACAACCAAAATATAGGTTTAGTAACATCAGAATTTTTCGAAATCCAAAATGTAAACTTCGAAATACAATAACAATCTTTACTATTGTCATAGCGTTCTTGGAACGGTTCAACCAATCGGCTATCGTCATACAACGCTAAAAAACATAAATTATTGGGAATATCTTTTTGCATGAACAATACCAGAAACCGATCTTGGTCGCTTTCCTTGATCGAAAAAATAATGACTTCACTGTCGTCTTTGGAACTCTGCAAGTAGTTGCAAATGAAACTAGTTTGCGAATAAATAAAACTAACTTTATTTTCTGCGGTGATCGGGCAGCGAGCCACGCAGAATTCAACCGCCTTTGAAATGTTTTGCGTCCAACCAAAATTTTTAAACTGCTGAGCCCATTCAAAAAATATTTTAGTCAAAACTGCGTTTGAGTCATTCGTGTAATCATTTGGCTTAACTTCAAAAAAATTTGACAGAAATTGCAAAAATAAGAACTGATTATTTGACATAATGGTGTTTGATTTGCAGCATAAAAACGTAGTTACACAGAGGCGAAATTAGAAGTGAACGATAAATAAAATAAAAAAAATTGGAGAATGAAAATAGAAGGCAAACAATGAACTAAATCATTAAGACGTTACAAATACATGTCAAACTTTTGTGATGACGGTGTTGTTTATCGTAGAGATATGAAAGAAAATAAATACATAAATGTGTTTATTCAGCTTTGCAATCGCATGTATCGGTAAAAAATTTTGGAGCCTGATAGACACATAAGAGATGCAAGTAGTCAACAATGTTTTTAATTGCCGTAAGTGAAAAGCAAATTTAACTTTTAGCTATTTCGACGCGATTGCCGAAGATAGAAAAATACGCTGAAGAACAAAGTCTGTTCCACGTAAAATTGTACGACAAAGACGGCAACCTGGTCCACTGGAAATCTCTGAAAAATTTGAGTGTTGGATTGTTATTTGGGGCTTACGATCTCCGTAAGTTTCGTAACGCGTTACCACATTTGATACGATTTTACAATAAGATCAACATGGCAGGTGCTAAGAAAAGACTCGAAATCATCTACATACCACTGGACAATTTACAAAGCGAGTACCAAGTAGTACGTGCGTTGATGCCCTGGTTGTCAGTAAAACCCAACTCAGACTTGCAAGAATTTCTAACCACCACATTCAAAATTCAGCCCATTGAATCAGTACCGATAAAAATAAATTATAACCATTTTAGCCTTCCGGTCCTACTCATAATATCGAGTCGAGGAACTGTTTACAAAAGTTTAGAACTTTATAAAACTACTTCAGAACTCGACGTATTGCTTTCCAAATGGGATTATGAACACTGCCGCTTTAAATAGATTTTGGGGAAAGAACATTGCATGAAGTAAGAAGATTTAATTGCATGTAGTTATATCTTTTTATAGCAGTTAATGAACAATGTCCTTGTCATAAGTAAACTAAAAACCATAGAACAATATAATTACATAAAAGAATTTATAATGAAACTATTCAGTTTATAGAGGGATAGAAATATTAGCGGCTTCAGGGAAGGTGTTAGATAAAGGACCCTTGGCTCTGACAATCTTGCAAGTAACACCATCTGAAACAATCTTGCCCTCGTCCTTAAGGCTAAGATAGTCGTCAACAGTGAGGTTGGTGAAACCCCATTTTTTAGAGATGAAAACGGTCTGGCGACCTGGAAACTTGTATCGAGCTCTGTTGAGAGCAGAGAAAGCTTCAGGAAGTTTGTCTTGCTTGCATCTAATAGACATCAGAGTTTGTCCAATGTTTACACGGGCAACAAGACCGGTGGGCTTACCAAAAGCGCCACGCATACCAGTTTGAAGTCTATCGGCACCGGCACATGAAAGCATTTTATTTATTCTGATGACGTGGTATGGGTGTACTCGAATTCTGAGATGGAAACCTTCTCTTCCAACCTTTTTAATCATATATCTGTTGGCGGCAACACGAGCCGCTTCGATTGCTTCAGAAGAAATTTGCTCGTATTCCCCAGAAATGAGGTGAACTACTGCGGGGAATTCACTGACATCCGCCTTCTTTTTTCCTGCGTCGTATATCTTGATTTTTGGTTCAGGTACGGCTCGGCAAAAACGAGACTTGGGATAAGGCTTGTTTTTGCAGTAACGATAACAACGAGCAGGTCTACGCGCCATTTTTTAGTTCTTTTTTATGGGTTCCGAAGAATTAAAAAAATTAAATTTTGTTTTGTTTCATGGAATTTAAACGAGTCGAAAATTAATGCCGATTTCGTCGCTCGCCACGCACTATCAACCCCAAAAACGTTATAATTTAATGTATGTAACTGTATAACTATTTACTAGTATAAAATCGGAATGCTGAGATTAGGATACCGCGGTATTCGAAGACGAAACATAAAAATAGTAATTTATTATAAACTTCAATAGTCTTTGAAATTGTTACACCTATGAAGCTTAACATCTCATACCCGCAAACTGGTAAGGTAAAAACAGTTGAAATTGATGACGAAAAGCGTCTTGTGCCTTTCTACGACCGAAGAATTGGAGCCGAAGTTTCCGCTGACACTCTCGGCCCTGAATGGAAAGGTTACAAAGTAAAGATAACCGGAGGAAATGACAAACAAGGTTTCCCCATGTTGCAAGGTATTCTCTGCAACCACAGAGTAAGAATTTTGATGAAAAAGGGTATGAAGTGTTTTAGAGAAAGAAGAAAGGGTACTGCTAAGAGAAAATCCGTCCGCGGATGCATCGTCGGTTCTGATATTTCCGCTTTGAACCTCATCGTTGTCTCCCGTGGCGAAAACGAAATCGAAGGTTTCACCAACGTTGTCACTCCGAGAAGACTCGGGCCCAAGAGAGCTTCCAAAATCAGAAAACTGTTCGGCTTGTCTCCAGAAGACGATGTTAGAAAATTCGTTGTCCGTCGTGTTGTTTCTGAAAAGAAAGCCAAGGCTCCTAAGATTCAGAGACTTGTTACTGCCGAACGTCTTGCTCGTAAAGCCGCCTACAAGAACGAACTTTGCAGACGCGCTGACAACTCTAAAAAAGCTGCAGAAGAATTCCAAGAAGTTCTCAAAGCGTACAAACAAAAGAAGCTCGCAGCTATGGAATCTCTCGTTAGTGCTTAAACATAAAGTTTAATTTTTCTGTACCAGTTTTAAACCATATTTTTGTTTTTTATATATTAATCTTACCGTGTTCTAAGGCATTATTCTGCTAATATTTTCACGCTAATCAAATTTTTCTAAAAAATAAATATTATTGATAATTGTCTTCACGGCACAAATCGGAATTGTCAAATGCGAAGCTCAAACAATTTCATGGAATATATTGCAGAGTTCCACCCCGTAACTCGGCTGTATCTATTATCCTCAGTTTTTATCACATTACTTTTGGTGCTTAGGATCGTCAATTACTCTACCTTGGTGTTTGATGTCGATAAAGTATTCAGAGAATTTCAAGTTTACAGAATTTTTACAGCTTGTTTGTGTACTGGCACTATTTTAAACACTTTTTTCAAATTGTATTTTTTTTCCAACATTTCGTTTCAAATCGAAGACGACATTCGCTACAAGTCTGTTTCCGGCCAATACTTATACACAATGATACTAATAATGCTGATGTCGAATATTTCTGTAGCTTTAATTGGTAGATCTAAAGTTGCTGTGGCGTACCCAGTTTTCCGTTCAGCGATAGTTTACCTCTGGGCTCACTTGAATCCAAACACAAAGACGAATTTCTACGGAATGCTGATCAAGTCAGCTAATTTACCATATTATTTGCTGGCCGCAGATGCTTTGTTTGGAATCAATCCACTGCACGGCGCAATCGGAATCGGTATCGGCTATTACTACAACAGACTCGATTCTAACCCTAAGTACCGCAAATTCTTAATTCGCCCAAAGTTTTTCGAGCCGTTTAACCAATTTCTGGACATTACGAGCAAGAACATGCTTATGAAAATCATAGTGGTTATAAAGTATTTGATTATGAAACTAGCTGTTTCTCTGCGTCGAGCAAACATGCAAACCGCTGCATTCAAAAACTACTTTGAGCCTAAAAGTAGAAGAGTAGGCGACTAATTAAAAGTTTTCCTCACAACAGGTTCGTGGCTGTTTTGTGTGGCAAGTTCGTAATCATGTTTATGAAACGAGCGAAATGGAAATTACAAGATCGCCCCTCACAACTAATAATTTATACTGTTTCTCGTTCACTACTTTTATAACCTCGTCACGGGCTTCGTCGTACACATACGTTTTGATTAATTCCTTGACCGGCCCCAATAGGATGTTCAAGTGGATGTCGTACGCGTGTATTATACCTTCCAAACACCGTCCGTTACGACATTTAACTCTAATACGATAACTTATGGAATACTTTAAAAAATCGAGTGGTTCTATCAGCCCAGTTTCTTTTCGTCACACGTACCTTTGAGAATGACATTTGCCTGTTTCATAGCGAAGGTAATTGAGCAAAAATAATTTTAATATAAAATACTTTTTAGGTATTCTAATATAATCAAAAATAAACTCGGAATGTTCTTGTTATATGAGGAAAAAAGATACATAATAGAAAAACAAGAAATATTATCTATCGACGATGAACATTCTGTTATCAGAGTAAATCGAATTCCAGATGAATTGCTTCACAACCTCGAAAAAACAATCAGGATGAACATGGTTACCATTTACCAAACGTCCAATTATGCACTGTATGACTCAGCTAGTAAACTCAGGGAACTGAGCATATTTGGCTCTTTCTGGTTTATTCTCAACACGCGAAACAGTGTTTTGGCGTTTGCCAAGATTTTACATGACTGGGTAATCGACTGTCCAGACACGCTAACTGGCTATTGGATCCTCGAATTGCACGCTCTAATAAAAAACAGAGGTTACGGCAGCAAGTTGCTGCGTGTCATGATAGACACGATGCTACCCAACGCCCCCATAGGTCTCTGTTGCCAAACAACCAATCAGCGACAGATTAATTACTACTCGAGGTTTGGATTTAAAATTTTTTACTCGTCGAACTCGTTCGTTGAAATGATACTGAAAAATGGAACTGAGAAATATTAAAATTTAATTAGCGAAAAAACACCGCAATGAAAATTTTTTCAGCAGTGCTTTTTTAAACCTGCAAAAAAACCTTAATTTATGCTTTGTGAAAAATAATGGACCGATGGATTTTCAAAACCGTACACACGACATTTGTGTAGAGTGTTCTAAAGATGACAAAAAATACACGTGCCCCGTGTGTCAGCGAAACATTTGTAGTCTTTCGTGTTCAGTCAACCACAAACAAAAATGTGTCAAGCCAGACACACCGCTAAAGTTTGTTCCGAAAAAGAATTTTGACGCAAAGATACTTGAACAGGACTATCAATTCCTAAGTGAACTTGGCTCTCAAATTGAAGAAATAGCTCGGTTCGAGTACAAGCTTTCGCAGTTAGAGCAAGGATCTAAAATGATTTCTGCGTCCGATCTCTTTCAAAAAAAGCTGCACACTAGAAAGGGCTTTACAAACAAACAGCTCGAAGTTATTTTAGCCGCTAACATAATTCTAATAAAAGCGCCCACGCTTTCTAGTTTGCACTGCAGAAACAAAACGCAAATTACTACTGGCAAGAACCAAGCAATATCTTGGTACTGTGAGATACAGTATCAGAATAAAACCTATTGCAACTTCTTCGTAAAAAGTTCAACTACTTTTCAGCAATTGTTTGACCATTTAAAAAACGCAGAATTCATATATTCGGCCGACCCGGAAGACTACTTTGTTTTGATAAAAGATCAAAACAACCCAAACAGCACGAATAGCTACTTTTTTCTCGATACAACCGTTGAAATCCAAAACGCACTTTACGGTTTAGTAATTAAAGAATTTCCGGTATTCCAGCTAATCGAAAAAAACGATGTGGATACATCTAATACGAAGTGCAGGTGTATAATGCCGACAATCCACAAAAACGTTGATTTCTGTGAAAATATCCGGGGAAATTGTATTGGTTTTTGGAAAAGCAATTGTTTGCACAGAAAACTGCAACTGACGGACTACTCCTACATAGCCGACTTACTATACTATATTGAAGAACAAGAAAAAGAACCAGATGAATCACTGGAAGAATACACCCGCAACGAGTTTTTTGAAGCACAAAATAACAATTTTATTAAATCTGAAAGCGTTAAGAATGAACAATTTTTGATAAAGCTAGAACAACTCAACCAGCCTGAACCTGAACCAACTTAATGAGAAATTCACACTAATTTTTTGTAAGGAATGCCCACTAAGTGAAATGTTCTGAGGTTAGTTCTCAGCATAAAAGCTAGTTAGTTTTATCTTTAAATTATTAAATTTAAACTATCAATTAAATGACTCGTCATCTTGAATTTTAAATCGGTCTTTTCTTGACTCCTTGAGTAACGTTTTTAGGTGTTTCACCAGCAATGCATTCCATTCGTTTTTTCTTTGTAAATAAAAAGTTTTCACCGTTTGATTGATACTTTTCTGGTACTTCCGTGTATTAGTTTTCGCAGCAATATCATAGTAATCATAAGAAGATATCTTAAGCTTCATAAGATAAAGAATAATGATAAGAAGAGAAATAGGCTGTTTAATGATTTTATACGTGTAAAGCATGAGAGTTTTCGCAAGCGCTACTAAATGCTCAAGGAAATAAATTGAAAACGCATAAATCCGCTTTATAAGAGGAGAAAACAAACGCAATAATTTATATGGCACGTTGACTCTCTTCTGCGAATTCAAACTCTTTTTCCAGCAAGCATTAGCGTGATAAAATAAGTATTCGTAACTTATACTATCTGACAAACTGAAAATTATAATTAACATCCTTTGCACAATGATAAACTGTAGTAACTGAATTTTTATGTTAGTCCAAAATAAATCGATGCGGTTTACAAACATTTTGAACTTTTCTGGGTAACATTTTGTTTTAATTTTTCCGACTTGTAGATTATAATGATTTGTAATCCTTGCGTAGAATGGCACTAAAATTTTTCCTCTGGCACCTGAATCCGGCACAAGAAATTCAGCATGATCGACAAATTTAATTTCTTTAATTTCTTCATTAGACTCAATAAAAGAAGTACAATTTTTAAGTTTAATATATATTAAACTTTTTTCAATTGCAAGTACAAAAAACTTCATACTTGTGACTGAAGTAAAAGATAAACCAAACTTTTGTTGAAATGCTCGTGTGACGACTGATAACAAACTCAAACAATGCTTATTTGCTTGTCCTTCTAGCAAAGAATTATCAGACAAGTTACGATTCACAACAGAAAAAAAATAATCTACATAGCTACAAAACTGACTGACCTGTACTAGTTTCGTAAGATAATCACTGCTTTGAAGTATTTTAAACGTTTTTGATGTGATATAGTATCGTAATTGTAATTCGTTTTTGTACAAGTCCAACAACTGGCCGAAGTCAAATAAATCTACTATCTCGGAACTCTGCATCACCAAAAATAAAACAGAGTAATTTTTAATTTTGAATACGGCATAGTTGATTTTATACTGTTCAAACACAGAAGTAATGACTCTATTTTTTTTGAAATCTGCGAAGACACAGCGTTTCAAAATGGTTTCGGTAGAATCTGGTAATATTCGAAACTCAAACAAATTTAACTGAAAAGTGACAAAAAATTCCTTATGCAGTGAAAGCTTTGTTTCACCTGTGTAAAAATCAAGCTTAGTAAAGTTTCTATTTTTTATTTTTGTCACCCGCGTCTTAGTTTTGCAGAGGAATTCTACTATATTTTTTAGTTGGCAAACGTCAGAAAAAAATTTCTGATGAATTTTATTCAGCTTTTCAACGCTTAAAAAAAAATAGAAGAAATCGAAAACAATTCTCGTAAAATTGCAAGATTCATTAATTTTTTCCAAAATTCCAGCTAAATCTAGAGAATTCATTCTTTCAATTGAAATATTGGAGCAATTCATGCCTTCAACAAGTTCAAATAGCTCAAGTCTTATTACAGACAAAACAAATGTAACGTTAAGAACCAGAAAATCATCAAAAATTGCAAAATCAGCGCTGTTTAAGTGATCAAATATTTTCGTGATTTGTAAACCTATTTTCTCGTGGTTTAACACGTTTTCAAAATAT